CCAATACTTCTTTTTTCCCTAAAAAAACAACTGATGAAACACCATACTAAAATGTGTGCAAGTGAGTTATTGATAAATTATATTTTCAAATACATTAGAATAGCATAACAATGAGGTATAAAAGCCCATATATTCAAAATATCCTGTGAAAATGCCTTATATCATCTACAAAATGTACAGTGCTTTCTGGACAAGAATCACAGTCAGTGTGATGAGATGTTCACAAGAGACAGAGTTTCTCCACATCATTACCAGTATTGAGTATATGCTCATAAAAAGGGATAGACAGAGTATAGTAGAATCTATAAAAGATTAATGTTCACATGATACGAATCCACTGTGTTTGCTCTTGAAATTATGAGTTAAAAATTTTATTCCCTTAGGTTTGCATAAAGTTAGTGTCTGAAATCCCCAGTACTTAACCCAGGGCATGATGAATTGTTGCTACATTTTTAAAGTCTTGTGGCAGAATTAGATAGTTGTGTATACCATCATTCATTCTCCCCAGGCTCTTTAGTGTCAGAATACCAAATTTATTCAATGTGGCAATGTGCCCAGCTGTAAGAACTATTCCTTAGTCCTCCTTATGCTGGTCTGGCCAGTTTGAATAATGACAAATATACCAAAAAATCAAATGAACATTTTTTTTAGTAAGTTTCCTAAAAAGGAGGTGGTGAGTTCTCTCCTTATTATGCTAGAATATACCTTTGATAACTGGATTTCTAGTAACTGTTTTGCACCAGGACTACTGTCATAGTACGAGGATGTCAGGGCTGAGAATCAGAAAAATCCTGGATCCCTACCAATTTTAAGGAGTTGTTATGCAAGGTCTGAGCAGCCTCTTCTTTGCTACTTGCGTTTCCTGATACGTACAGGCAAACCTCATCTTACAGAAATTAATTTCAACATATTTCTAAATGTTTGCTGTAAGTCTACCTGTAGTTTCTCAAGTCTTTATGAATGGACAGAGGCCTACTGCATGCATTTTTTTATATCTTCAATGAGAAATATGCCTTATATAAATAAAATACAATGCTCCCAGTGTCATTCTAAAATTTTTATTTGTAATTCTGCTCTTTGATATTCATTTTGACCCCCTTTTCCTTATGGTTTGCACTCAATAAGACATACTTTAACGCACTGTTTTATTGTATAACTGTCTGTGTTACTTTGGGTGTAGAAATAAATCCTTTGAGGGGCAAGGGAATAGTTGGAGGAGCTGATCTTAGTGTTTTCAGGAATGAAACCCACCTACATTTGTTAAACCAAATAGACTTGCTATTACTTCTGTTAATTCTATACTCATGGTTTTCACCATATAACTTTGTGTTGTTTTCTACTTTACCTAAGATATAGATTAGGTAAGGTTGGGCTTCCACTTCACCAGTTTCCTTAGTGCTGTCCTCTTTACTCTCTTTGCTCCAACCTAATTAGCCTTATTTTCAAGTCTTCTGAGATACGTTTTTTTTTCCCCACTTTGCACTGCTTTACGATGATTTGTCCCGTTTACCACCCTTCAGATTTCAGCTCAAAGCTTACTTCCCCACTGAGTTAGATATACTGGATATATACTCTTGGCATACCACATACCTTTCCTCATAGAACTTGGCACAATTGTAATTTTTTGTTAACTAGCAAAATTACATGTTTAATGTATTTCTCTCCGACTAAATTTTAAACTCCATCAAAATATTGTAGGATCTGTGTCTGTTCCCCTTACCTTCTGAGCGCCCAACACAGCTCATGCTCCAGAGTAGGCGTGAATTCGAGCCCTTTGTGGTTGCAATGCTTCTCATATTTTTGACAGCTAGAATTAAATAATCTAATTCATAATTCGGCCTTGTTCATATGTTAATCATTCTTCCTGTTCAACTCCTTTTGTTCTCATGAATGTAGTCATAAATTGCTGATGTGATGTCTCTTTGTCAAGCAGGAAGAGGTAATTTCAGGGTCAGGAGAAGAATTTATAAATTTGTTTTGGAGAAGAAAAAATGCTCCAAGTTAGCTGCGACCATCTGCTGACACCCAAAGTCTGATATTAAAAAGCATTATCTGTGACTAAAGAAACAGAGACTTTTCTCAGTTCCCTGGAACTCCTGCTCCCCCATTCCCTAGCTACATAAAAGCCCCTGTCTTTTGCTTTTTGGGAGAGATGGATTTGAGAGATTTTGCTCTCCTGTTCTCTCGCTTTAGCCAAATGGAATAAGACATTCTCTGTCTTCAAGCACCGATTCTCAATGTTTTGGCTAACCAGGGCATCAAACACATGACTTGGATTTTGGGAGATGATTCTGCAACAGGTGCTTAGTAAATAAGGAGAAGCATCTTACTCATGTAAATATAATGTCAGTTTGGGCCAGCAGGGAGAGAGTTGAAGTTGCATATAAAAGTAATATACCTGTACTCTAAAAGCAAATGTCAGGAAGTGGAAATTACAGGCATACCTCTGAGATATTGTGGATTTGGTTCCAGACTACCACCAGAGAGTCCTACTCTTTTGGCTGGTGGAGGATCTTGCCTTCAATTTGTAAAATACATGACATCTGTGAAGCACAATAAAACAAGGTAGGTCTGTACCTATGGGCATGCTCAATTTGAAAAATCTTTAAGTAGTACTACCCAGTGGAAACTGAAGATTGTTTAATAGATTTTGTAAAAGTAATATTTAATTGTGGAGATAAAGGGTAAATTTAAAATTTGCAGAAGGTAGAAGAAGATAAAGCAATGAACAAGTGAAATATTTTAGAAAGTAATTGTAATTAAAGTTGAGAATAAATAAACTAAACTCAAGGAAAATTTTAGATGTTTTTTCCGGTCTGTATGCCACCTCCCTGCCCCCACATTCACTTTATAAATTACTACCCAAGTTATCCTGCTGAAGCCCAGGCCTGAAAATGTCATTTTGCAAAATCTTTTAAGAGCTTTTCACAGGCTACAGCAGATATAGCACTGCTTATTGTTTATTCATAAAGTGAAAAACTATAATTGTTTATCATTTATTCTTGATGGATGTTTGGGGTAAAGATGACTTTTCTCATTATGATTTTAAATGATTCACATCTTGAAGTAATCAGCATGGAGTTTTAAAATATTTGAAGAAATCCAGGCACGCTTCAATGCCTAACATCCCACAGAAACTGGCAACTTGATTCCTAGCTGGATTATTTTCATATACAATGTCTTGATTTTCAGAGGTTCAAACCATGCATGACAAACTAATCTTCTTCATTATGTTACTGTATACTCCATGTATCACAGAGATTCCAGAGAGTAAATCAATTTAAGTGTGCAGAATAACATAATGGGAATTGGGTCTTGGATCAATGTTTGGGAATAAACCTAATGACCTGTTCTTTTCATTGTTCAAAAATAGTGTGTTTGAAGTTGTTTGGTGGTTCCAATTCAAGACAGTGACATAGGACAATCCTGGGCTCACCTCTTCCTGTGAACACACTGATTCTGCAACTACATATGAACAACTTTCTCTGAAAAAAATCCTAGAAACTGAGCAAGTCCTACGCATCAGGCTAACAAGAGAAGGTCCACATCATGAAAGAGGGTAGGAGTGGCTGGGACACAGTCTCACCATAAACCCCCCTATTGAGTCACACCCCTCGTCTTTCTAAGAAACAGGCCTATTTTCTTGTCAGAGATTTGGCCTGAGGAGCAGGCTTCTGGTCTGGCCCCCAGCCAAGGGCTGTGGAGGACTCTGAGAAAAAAGGCCAGTAGACACAATATGTGAGCTTGCCCTCTGCCTCAATGTAGCTCGCAGGTATGTCTGAGAAAGACTCTTAGGCCCCGTCTGGTGCCCAAGTTTTGCAGCTGCTGCCAGGAGACACCTCTACCTTGCCTGGCTTTGGTGGTCAGTGGGGCATATGCTGCTGGGCCTCCCAGGACTATATACAAGGGAGAAGGAGTTCTAAAATGGCGACCACCCACAGGGCACAGCAAGAGGCAACAGACCCAGGAACTCAGTCTTGCTGGGAAAGAGGCCTATTCACCATCCTAGCTGCACCTGAGGGGCAGGATTCTCGTTAAATACACATTTAGGGGCTGACTATAATTCTTTTTAGAGACTTTGAAAGGCTGACACTATCTTCAGGCTCTGCCCTAGCCTCCTCCAGAATGCCACAAGTATAACTACAGTTAATAACACTGAATTGAATATTTGAAAATAGCTAAGAGAATGGGTCTTGAAAGTTCTCATGTCAAGAAAATAAATTGTACTTATGTGTGGTGATGGATGTTAACTGGGCTGATTGTGGTGATCATTTTGCAATATATGCAAATACAAAATCATTATGTTGTACATCTGAAAGTAAGAAACATTATGCCAATTACGCCTCAAAAAAAAAAAAGAAAAACCACAATTTGAGCTGTACACTACATATTGGTGGTAATAACGATCATAAATACTGACTCCAGCTGGTGAGCCTCAAGTAAGGATGAACACTTTGCTCACACTCAATAAGCCTTTGTTCATTGAGTTGTCCTTTTGCTCCAGTGTGCTTGCGTTGTCATTTTGATATACACTGATGAAAGTTCTTCGAAGACTTTTGCTGAGGACACGTGAGGTATGGTTAGTGGCCTAAAATAATTATCTAATTTTTATCTTCTGGAGCAGATTTTCAGCAAGAGAACAGAGAGAAAATCCTTTCTGATATAATACCCAAACTTTGTTTTCTAGCAATGTCCCCATATATTAAACTAATTACATAATTAGTACAATGAGAACATTAAAATAACCCTGGACAAGAAAGGCATGGTGAAAATATATCATTTCTTCTTCAGAGTTTAGGAACTAGCACATTTTTATATCACAGAAATATTCGAAATTCCAGTCTTCCATTACTTCTGAATTAATACGACAAAAGCTGTTAATAAACCACAGGAAAATTATCTTCTGGGTAATGAAAACCAAATCAAATAAGAAACTACAAGTAATACAAACAACACATTTATTTAGAAAAATAAACTGAAAATGCTGTTTGTTTGTCTGGTACATTTTCCCATGAAGCATAGATAAATGGCTATAAAAATTGTTATATGTCAAATACAAATTACAAATGATTTTTTTTAATTAAGAGAACAAATAGATGTTCAACACAAATGTTTAGTGTACAGTTCACTATATTTGACTTCTTGGCTGTTAATGATATAAAATGATCTTTCTTCATTTAAAAAAAAATCTTGATCCCTTTTTCATTCATTTGACCACACTAATGCTTTTTCATTATTATTCTGTAGTTGTTTTTCAATATGAGACCAGACCTTTTCAGGTTTTTTTTGGTTTTTTTTTAGATAACTGATTTTTATAGAAGAGAAATCAATGTCTGCAGAATTCTTAAATATTTCCTTTTTGGACTCTTGCAAGAAACTGCTTGTTGTGGTCTCAAAACTCATGGGACCATCTGTGCAAATAACAGCACACATCATTACCCTGAATGGAAGTGACAGTGCAAATATTAGAAGTGCATTGAGAAGTAATCAGTAAGAACTGACCTCCCCCATTCCCCCCCCCCTCCCAATCAATGTGGAGTGAAGGACTGAATGCAGAAACTTTTCAAGCAATTGACAACAATGCTGTTATTCCATTATGGCTTTAAGTGTGTACGCAAGATGGCAAACATCCTCTTTCTCTGCTAACAGCAACATTCTGCCCTAACACTGTTCATTGCTGCAATGCTCCTCTGTTTGTTCACTTTCTTTTTGTCTACATATTTGCAATGCTAAGTAGTTCTGATTAGAGATACCTCCTATCTCTGTACTTTCACCTTCCCAAATGAAAAATCAATTTACAATTTACTAGGTTAATTGCTGAATATAAATTTTTGTGGGTTCACATCTGGGAATATTTATTTTCATGGTGAAATAAAATGTTTTTTGTTGTTGGCTTGCTTATTTAGTCCTTTTCACCTTTTTTTTTCTATTTTGTTTTTAAATCTTCTTGGTAATTTCTGAGTGAAGAGATTTAAGGCTGTGGCTTTTTTTTTTTTTTTTGCCCCTATGGCTCTGCTCATGGCTGTCAGACTAGAGGCAGATGATTTTATGCAGACCATATCTGTGATCATTTGTGCTCCAAAGTTGAGGGATTTGCTGCTCTGAGATGGACAGGTTCTTGGTTATTTCAAAATTAGATCTGGCCTCAAGAAGTCATAATGATGAATCTGAAGTGAGAAAAATGAGCTGACATGCCTCCAAATAAAGACCTGAAGGAGCTGTCAGAAGAAGGAAAAAAAGACAAAAGATCAGTTTAAATAGAAGGTATAGTTCAACAAAAACACATACAATGTATTAAGAATGAGGCAATCATTTGTTAGTAGTGTACATAATTTAAAATTATTTGAATTATCAAGAATTTTACTTTAAATGTCTAAACATATTAATTTAAACATAAATTCCATTTAAATTTCATATAAAAATAACGTGATAAGTGATTCATCAAAATTTAGTAGTATGAAGTAAGCTTATATATCAATTAAAAGATCTTCTCTTATCCCTGACAGTTTTTAAAACTTCAGATAAATTTGTCCACTTGTAAATGTACCAAGTTCTCAAGTTATTTAATAAATTTTCAGACTATAAACTATGAGATAGATAGATATCTTGGGGGTGCCAAAAAATGTACACACATGACTTGTATTCATGTTTTGTTATTGGTATATATTGAATATTACAATTTTAATAGTTTTTTCCTTTCAAAACAGTTTTTTTCCTTTCTTAAAATGTGTATACAGACTTCCAGTAAGATGGCAGAATAGACAGACACTATGCCAACTGCCTCCCAGGATCACACAAAATTACAAATAATTTATAAGATATTCAACCTCAGAAGTTCCCTGGACCCTAGATGAGCAGAACCTCTAAACCAAGGACTTAAAGAGGAGGCCACGTCAAGTCCAGTAGGAGGGGCAGAGGCGAGAGAGGGCAAACCCCGTGAGGGACACCTCAGCGGTGGGGAGGCTTCTCCCGTTGGGGGCGAGACCCTCCGACCCCACACCGTGCTCAGCACCTCAGAGTTACGTTGCCGGGAAGAGGAGTTCTACGATAGCTGGAAGTAGAAAATAGTGAGGACTCTCTTTGCTGAACTCGGTGAGGCTGAGGGCAGCTGGAGATCCAGTGGAGCCAGCAAACCAACTCGCACACTGGTGAGCACTCACCCGGTTCCTGGTAAAGGGAGTAGCTTTGTGAGCAGGGCCCAGGAGCCTGCGGGAAGGACTGAACTGAGTGCCTTTGGCGCGGGAGCTAGAGGTTTTTGGGAACATTGTTCCCCTGGTGTGGAGCTTGCATACTAGTAGTGTACAGGAGGGCGCCAGTTTTTCAGGGCTGGGCCCTCCCACAGAGGCTCAGGTCTGGGACTGCATTGGTCTGCTGGAATTGGCACAGGAATGCATGTGTATGTGCGTGCGTGCACGCGCATGCAGCCTTGGATTCCCATCCTCTGCACTATTTGTGCTGCATAGCCAGGGAAACACCTGTCAGGCGTGCGTCAACTCCAACAGACTGCTTATTGGGACCCAGAAGTGCTTGACTTGCCTTAGGTCCCCGATTTCCGCACTGCACGTGCAGAGTTGTCTGGGTGGCGATTACCTGTCGGGCTGCTTGGCCTGATCAGCGAGCAGCTAATTGGGACAGGCTAAGACAGGGAGGTTTCCTGGGAGTGTTGGGCCATGAGCTGTATGCCTGCATGATTTGGCCGGGGCTTTCCAGGCGAGTTTGTGTGGGCTGGCTGCCGATGCAGGAGTGCATGCTGCTCTGACCTGGTGGGGGTCACTGACCACATCCTGTGGTGCCATGGGGACTTGCCCCACCCACCTAGAGCTGTGTTGCCAGGGGCACCCTGAGCCTCCTGGTCCGTGGCTCCTTCCTCCGCAGGCCACAGAGGGTTTTTTGCAGCAGCAGACAGCTCGCAACAACCTGTGAGGAATTTTGGTGGTGAGCACGGTTCCAGAGCACACAGCAGCTAATTGTGGGAAGCTTACTTCAAGTCTAGAGGGAGGTCGGCACATGACTCAAACAGCCCTTCTGCCAACAGCTGGTGTTGAGTCACCCAGAATCTCTATTGCTGAGCAAGTGGTCTGCAGATTAAAGCAGGCAGAGAGCCCCTCCCCCCCCCCTTTTCTTTTCTTTTTTATCTTTTTCCTTTTTCTCTTTTTTTTCATTTTTTCTTTTTCTTTTTTTTTTTTGTCTTTCTAGGTGATCTAATACATCGAAGCAATCAGAGTGACAGCCAGAATGAAGAAACAAAGAAACGTGACCCAAGTAAAAGATCAGAAGAAACCTCATATCCAACCTTTCAGAGACAGAGTTAAGAACACTGATGATAAGAATGTTTCAGGAACTTAAGGAGGACATAAAGAAGGA